AGCAAGGGACCAATGAACAGATACCCAAAGAAAAGAATGTCCACATCTTTATCTCAGTGGTTCTAACAGGCGTGTGTGGCCGTTCTGATCCTTCCCCCACATGGTCTCACCCAAGATGGCGGCTACTGGAGCAGCGGAGCGTCCCGGACTAGAAAGCAGTAGATTTCTTGGTTCTGTCACAAATTCCCCCAGCTGTGAGCCTTCCAACTTTCTAAATATACCTTTATATGTGGTTCAGAGTTCTGGGACCAGCCCCTGAGCCTGCTTGGTCCGGTATTCTGTGTTGTTGTTGGCGGAACTCCTTTACTGCACTTCTACCCAATCCTCCATCTTGTTTGTTCTCTGTTCTTATAGTTTTGTTCTGTTCTTGACTCTTCCTTCTGTCGATTTAGTTCTGGGAGGTGCTGCCACATATGTCAATCTCTGGTTATTGTCTGTTCTTGTTGGTTCTCAGTCTACAGAACTCCCTTTAGGATGTTTGTAGTACAGGGTTGGCTTTGGAAAAATCCCTTAGCTTCTGTTTATTCTGGAATGTTTTGATTACACTGTCGTATTTGATTGATAGCTTTGCTGCATAAAGGATTCTTGGTTGACAGTTTTTTTCTTTCAGGATTTTATATATGTCTCCCCATTGCCTTCTTGCTTGCATGGTTTCTGCTGAGAGATCCGAGCTTAATCTGACCTGCTTGCCTTTGTATATAATACTTCTCTTTTCCCTAGCTGCTTTTCAGGATTGTCTACTTATCTTTGATTTTAGAGAGCTTGATTATAATATGTCTCAGTGATTTTCTTTTGGGGTCTATCCTTCCTGGGTTTTGTTGAGTTTCTTGAATGTTTACCTTTTCATTTTTCAGGATGTTAGAGAAAATTTCTTCCAGCAGTTCTTCAACTATTTCCTCTGTGGACTTGTGTGATTCTTCCTGTTCTGGCATGTCAATAATTCTTAAGTCATTCCTCTTTATGATGTCCAACATGAATCTTAAGACTTTCTTCAGATTTTTTTATTTGCTCTTCTGTCTTAGTGGTATTGAGAGATTTGTCTTCCAGCTTACTAGTTCTGCCTTCCATCTCTTCTATTCTACTCCTTTGCCCTTTCAGAGTATTGCCTATTTCTGATATTCTAGTATTGATTGTTTGGACTTCTTTCTGTAGGTTTTGAATAATTTCCAATGCTGTATTTATCTTATTTGGTTGTTCTTGCAGCACTTTCCTGACTTTTTCCTTATTTTTCTCAACTCCCTTGTAAAGTGTTTTGAAACATTTTATAATCATTTTTCTGAATTCCTTCTCAGGAATTTCCAAGGCCTGCCCGCCTTCCAGAAGGGAGTCCAGGTCTACCGTTAGGTCATTTGTCTCAGACATGTTATCTTGTTTCTGGACATGTGCTGTTATGGTCATCTGCTTTTGCTTCTTGGACATATTTAGTGTTTACCTGTGGCCTTAAGACTTAATTGAGTGTGTGGTTCGGTATTTTTTATGTTTTCTGATTGCCTCCAGTTAGATGTGATCAGGACGTGGTGTCCCTTTTAACTCTTCTTATTGCTTAATTCAGAGTAACTTTCACAGGTGTTGTCTTCGTCCCTGGTGTATGGCAGTTGGTATTGGTTCTTACCTGGATTTTGGTGTTTTATACAATGTGACTATAGCTTGACTATATGGCAGCAGTTGCTGTCTCTTCCTGGGTAATATATATAGAGAAAGAGTCCCCTCAAAGGTAAAAGGGGAACAGAAAACAGTAACAGCAAAAACCCAAGAAAAACAAAACAAAAACCCACCAAAACTAGATTGGATACTGCAGTCTATAATCGCAGAAAAGGGAGAGGAGGGAGAGAAGAAAAGAAAAAAATAATCTGTAGCCTAATATGAGTATGATTTTAATGACCTCTTTCAGCTTCTTGCCTTCAAGGCTGCCTGATAAATTTCAAGATGCCACTGTTGGTTGTTATGGTGTACCTCAGGATTTAATTTTCATCCTGTTTTGTTTTTAAACTCTCTTTCCCTCTCCAAACCCCTTGTTCTGGCCTTTTCTCTATTAAAAAACAGTTCAGGGCTGGCTCTTGGGCTAAGAGTACTGCTTGCAAGCATGGTAGAAGAACCCACCAGTGGTGGGGGTGGGGGGTGTCCACTCGCTCAGGCACCCCCTCTAGTTACCAGAATGGAGGTGCACAAACAGTGGGGGACCAATGAACAGATACAAAAAAAAAAAAAAATCAGAACAAAGCAAAACTGACCAAGTTTATTATCCACCTTTGCTCCGAGGTTCCTAGGGTATTATTCTGTGGTGGGTCTGCTCCCTCACTTAGTCTTGTTGTTTGGTCTCATCCAAGTTATCGGCTCTGGGCTGCCGAGCCCGGCAGACTTAAAAGTACACAATTTCTTACTTCTATTACAAGTTCCACTAGCTATAAGCCTTCAAACTTTTAAAATATTCCTATCTATGTGGTTCAGAGTTTTGGAGCTCTTCCCTGAACCTGCTTTGCCTGGTAGTCTGTAGTTTTGATGACGGCGAACTTCACTGCACCTCCACCCTAGCTGCCATAGAGCCCGGCCTCCTCGTCATCCCCCTATACTCTTAAATGCCATCTTTCAATGCCATGTTTAATGCCCTGGGTCCCTTCAATGTGAAGCCTGAATTTCCAACTACCCCAAACCACTTTTTCCTGGCTCCTAGAATAGTAAATAGAATCCTCATGTGGCGCTGTAGGATAAAGCACTGGACTGCAATATCAGTTTGAATTGCAAAGGCAGCAGTTCAAACTTACCAGCCACTCTTTGGAAACCCTATAAAGGGTTACTATGAGTTGGAACCACTCGACGACATTAAATAAAAACAACAAAAGTATAGTAATTGAGAAGACCTCATGGTGCAGTGGTTAAGTGCTCAGTTGTTACCTAAATGTTGATGGTTCAAACCCACCAGCTGCTCCTTGAGAAAAAAATGTGGCAGTTTGCTTTTGTAAAGAATACAGCCTAATCACAAAGATAATGTTCTACATACCTACAGCTGAGTAGCGGCAAGGTATTAAAAGCTGGTGAGCAACCATCTAAGGTGTAACTAATAGTCTCTTCTTGTCCAGAGCAAAGAAAAATGAAAAAAAAAAAATTGAAGGCACATGGAAAACAGTCCAATGGATTAATGGACCATGGGAACATCAGTCTCCACAACCCTGAGACCAGTAGAAGTAGATGGTGCCTGGCTATCACTGCTGAGCATTTTGAAAGGGATCCCATTAGAAAGTTCTGGATAGAGTAGGAGAAAAACGTGGAAAAAAATTCAAAATCTGAGAAAAGACCAGGCTTACTAGTCAGATTGAAACTAGTAGAACCCTTGAGACTATGGCCTTTAGTCACCCCTCAGGCCTGACACTGAATTCATCATCAGGGTTTAATGTTCAGTTAAACAAAGGTGTTGTTGTGAAGTGCCGTCGAGTCGGTTTTGACCCATAGTGACCTTGTATAGGGTTTCTGAGGAGCAACTAGTGAGCTTGAACCGCTGACCTTGCAGTTCAAACAGCTTTGCAGTCTGGCGTGTTAACCCACAGCGCCACAGCAGGACTCCAATCAAACAACAGACAGCTCTATAAGGGGAGCAGTAACACTAGTGAGGTACACATACCATGGAATAATCAGTCATCTGAGATCAAGGGGGCAGCATTTACTCAAGGACAATGCTCAGAAGGATTAGGAAGGAAGGAAGAATGGAAACAGTAGACACAGGGAGGAAGCAGGATAAGTGATGTTATGTTGGGATTGCAATCAATGACCTGAAACAAAATATGTATGAATTGTTCATGGAAAATGGATCTGCTGCGTAAACCTCCACCCAATTCACAATAAAAAGTTTGAAAAACAAAAAGTTTACAGCCTAGAAAACCTAGTGGGCAATTCTATTCTGTCACTGGGGTCATTATGAGTCAGAACTGACTTTGTGGCAATGGGTCATAGTAATAACCAGCAAACTAAGTATACATTTTCAAATTTTGCATTTCGGTATTTACTTTGTGCCTTTCTGCTCCGTGCAGGTCTCCCTCATGTCTCTGCCTCTTAGCTTGCTTTCCTTCATCTCCAACGCCCATGCAGTTCCATGTTTCAGTATCTCTCTCTGTTTCCCAAATTAGTCTATGCACACGCATATGCACACAGCATGTGCGCATGTACACACACACATTCACATACCTGAACTACTGAAAATAAAAACAGATATATCCTATGATGAAGGAGCTCTGGTAGCACAGTAGTTACAAACTGGGCTGCTAACCGCAAGGTCAGCAGTTCAAAACTACCAGTGGTTCTGTGGGAGAAAGAGGAGGCGTTCTGCTCTGTATTTACAGCCTCAGAAACCCTGTACAGGGTCGCTATGAGTTGGAACTGACTCCATGGCACACCACCACCACCACTATGATGAGTTTAGGTTTCCCTCCACTTCTGATTTTTACTCACCCAGACCCAGCTCTGAACTCGTAGATTCTTCAGCCAGGCTGCTGGATGGGGTGGGTAACACATCATCATCAAAACTGATAAGATCGATGTCTCCTGGGGTCTTGCTGTGTAAAACTGGAAGTGGGGGAATGGCGGGAGGCCCTTCTCCCAGTGACCTGAACGCTTTGGCTTGTGATGTCACTGAGAGTCGGGGAGGAACAGTGACTGGTTTCAGTGAAGGGCAGGCGGGGTTTTCTGAGGAAACGGATTTCTTCATCAACAAAGGCCGCGGAGCAGGAGTTGGTACTTTCTTCCCACCATCAGGGCTCTCAGCTGTGGTACCTCCTCTCAGAATCTCATGAGTAACACTTCGTATAAGGCCAGGATTTGGTTTCTTTGGCAATTCAGGTTTGGTTACTGGGATGCTGCCTGCTTCTTGCGGTGGAGGGACAGACCCTTCCTGGGAGGCCACCTTGAGTCTGTTTTCTGTCCAGGAGTCCCATTCTCCAGAAACTCTGTTAGCAGCTGGCTTGGGAGCTACCACGGGCTTCCCTGAGGAAACAGCAGGCCTTGGGGGTACTGTGCGGGGAGCAATCTCTGGTTTTTTGGACAGTCCTGAGGTTTCTGTATTTGTTTGACCCTCAAATGCTTTGACTCTTGAGACAATACTATTTTGGCTTTGTTCTGTGTTCATAATGTTCATCAATGCCTGGCTTTCCAAGTTGTTGGTGTTGTCCAACAGACACAAGGGCTTGCTGGGGGATAACTTCTCTTCTGTGGTTGGGGTACTAATTTTCTGGTGACTTTGCTCTTTAATGTGAATATTTCTGGTAACTGGTCTGAGGTTGCTTTTTGATCTTGGCCTTGGCACTGGACATTTTGTAGCACTGAGGATTTCTGGACAATTCTGTTCCTCAGAAATATCAAAGACGATCAAAGGTGCCACATTTGGTGGAAGATCATTGGCTGGGACGGCTGGGGAAGGCTGAAGAGGCTTGAGAGGTGACTGTAGTGCTGGCAAAATCACAAGGAAAAAGAGATGTTACAATGTTACAAACCAACCAACTAAACTCCCCGACTAAGTATATATTTTCAGTATGCACGTGGCATAATTTCCTTCATTAGTAAAAAGTGAACTTCAAGACTACTGGGGAGCTGTTTCTACCCAGCTTCCAGCATGAGTGTCTTTCAAGTTACATTTGCTCCTATAACAAATATTTACTATACCATAACTTAAAACACCATTCAATTCCTGATTCTCACTAGATTTACCATATAAGCCATTTCTCTTTGGTTGCCAAAACTCCAATATTTATTGCTTTATTTTTCTAAAGCAACTTATTCTCATCTCTGTTGCCCTTAACACCAAGACTTTTTACCAACAGGCCAATCACCCTTAGCATCCCAACACATTTTAGTTGCTAAATACAATATCCTTCTCCATAATAGCAATAACACCTACCATGAGTTAAACAGATGATGTTTTTGTGTTATGACTTGGGTGAATCCATAAGACTGAAGCTATGACTCATGAGAATGATCCATTATAATAATCAGAGCATACCCAAATAAAGAATGCACACAGTGATTATACTGACTGGAAAGCAGAGCCCAATAAATTATGCACAAATTGCAAATTATTTTAAAGGCTAGAAGCCTACTGATTACTTCCCTAGAAGTATGTCAGAATCGGAAGGGACAAATTACTTGCATTACTTTGAGGCAGATGGTTGTCTAGTTCTTCTGAAAAGTCAGTCTGAGTTGCAGAAGTAATAGTGTGCCTTGGAGGGGCAGCAGCATTATTATTATTTGTAGTGTTAACTTGAACTTGACTGATTTCCTTTATGACTTGTTCATAAGAAGGTGGGAGCTGAAAAATAAAAAATGAAGATTTTAGATATCTGTGGGCAAATAGGCATCCTGGTGTGGAGCTGTAGGATCAGCATTGGACTGCAAACCACGAAGTCAGTTCCTTGGAAGCCCGTAGAGTCACTATTAGTCAGAATCAACTTGGCCCTTAACAACAGCAACTTGGGCAAATAGGCTCGATACTAGTAAGTCTCACTGTTCTTATCTTTGAACTTCACTTTAAACATAAAATGTACAGACATAATGTAATGTTTACTTACCTCTGCAGGAACCAGCTCACTGGACCTCCAGGGGCCTGCTGAAGAAGGGGGCGGAAATCCCAGTCCTGGGGGAGGGGCTCCTGGGAACCAAGAGGCTGGCCTCAGTGGCTCAGCTGCCACAATAGTGATCTCTGGACGCCTACAGACAGACACCTTGGTGAGGTACGGTAGGTCGGAAACAAGCTACTGTCTATCTGAAAATGTTCAAAGACTGATAAAACCACTACCACCCAAAAAAGTTACGAAAGAACTGTCACCTTCACAGAAATGCCTGAGCTCTCTCTAACACTGCACCCAGAAAAGTTTCAAGGGGCAAATAATAGCCATCTTCTAAGAACTGACTTCAAAATATTAGAGATGTACCCTGAGTACACTTAGCCTTCCCTTGGCTGACAAAGATAAGGACTAATGACCAGTTTCCAGAGGTTGTCAATTTGATTCAAGTTAGCCCCATGTGTGCAGAGCAGATCAGCTCCACAGGATTGGTCAAACCTTTCTTCCAAGATGCCTGTGGTCTGAACTGTTGACCTTTCAGTTATTAAAATTATAAACTGAATCATCTGCATTGCTCAGAGGCTCATAGAGATGAACTCTGTGATTGTTAAGTGTCATGGAGTTAGTTCCAATTCATGACCCTGTATAGGGTTTCCAAGAAGCAACTGGTGAGTTTGAACCACCAACCTTGTAGTCAGCAGTCCAGTGCTTATCCTACAATGCCACACCAAGACTCCAAAGATTAATTTAGGCCTGTGTAATTTCCTCTCTTCAGAATTCTGCTATCTGGCCTAGCATACAAACACAAATACGAATATCCAAGGAAAGAAAAATGTACTAATCAAATTAAATTGTTTGACTTCTATTATAGAACATATTCTCTGAAATGAAAATTACCATAGGAAAAGAATATTCTGTTCTATCTCACTCTACCTCTAGCTTAATTCAAAATTATCTTTAAGTGTTAAGAGTTCACATGCCTATGTTTTTAGTTTTTTTTTTAATATTTTAACTTTTTATTGTGAATTGAGTGAAGGTTTACAAAGCAGATCATCAGTTTTACATTCAACAAATCATATACTTTGCTTCATTACAATGACTGCAATCCTTCCATGCACCAACAGTTAACAGTATTTACCTCTGTTCGCTTTAACATTGTTTCCCTCCCTATGTCTCCCATTACTATCATCTTTTCTCTGCTAACCTCCCTTTTGCATATTGCCTGCCATGTCACCCATGTTAACATGTGTCTACTCTCAAGCTCTCATGAGCACAATTAAGTGCTGAATCTGTATATGGACCAAGAGGCAGTTGTTCGAACACAACATGGGAACACTGAATGGTTTAAAATTAAGAAAGGTGTGTGACAGAGTTGTATTCTTTCACCATACTTATTCAATGTGTATGCTCAGCAAATAATCCGAGAAGCTGGGTTCTATGAAGAAAAACGTGGCATCAGGATTGGAGGAAGACTCATTAACAACCTGCGATATGCAGATGATACAACCTTGCTTGCTGAAAGTGAAGAGGACTTAAAATATTCACTGATTAAGATCAAAGAGCACAGCCTTCACTATGGATTGCATCTCAATGTCAAGAAAACAAAAATTCTCAACACTGGACCAATAAACAACATTCTTATCAATGGAGAAAAGTTGAAGTTGTCAAGGACTTCATTCTTCTTGGATCAACTATCAACATTCATGGAAGCAGCAGTCAAGAAATCAAACAATGTATTATTGTATTAGGCAAATCTGCTGCACAAGACCTTTTTAAAGTGTTGAAGAGCAAAGATGTCAGCTTGAAGGCTAAGGTGCGCCTGACCCAAGCCCTGGTATTCTCAATAACCTCATATGCATATGAAAGCTGGACAGTGAATAAGGAAGACCATAGAAGAATTGATGCTTTTGAGTTATGGTGCTGGAGGAGAATATTGAAAGTACCATGGGCTGCCTAAAGAACCAACAGATCTGTGTTGGAAGAAGTACAGTCAGAGTGCTCCTTGGAAGCCAGGATGGCAAACTTTGTCTCTTATACTTAGGACATTTTGTCAGGAGGGAACAATTTCTGGAGAAGGGTATCATGTTTGGTAAGGTGGAGGGTCACAGAAAAAGAGGAAGACCCCCAGTGAGATGGATTGGCAAAGTGGCAGCATTGATGGGCTCAAGCGTGGCAACAATAGTGAGGTTGGCCCAGGATCAGGCAGTGTTTCGATCTGCTGTGCATAAGGTTGCTATGAGTCGGTCTTCAACTGGATGGCACCTAACAACAGCAACCCTCAGGCCTGTGAATAATACCTCTTCCCTCACTCCAGTAACCATCATAGAAGGTTTCTTTCATCAACAAAGCCTTTTCGTAATTTTTACAACATTGATTTCCTATAATATTTGTCCTTTTATGGTTCACTTATTTCACTCATGTCCTTCAGGTTCATCCATGTTGTGAAGTGTTTCGTGGATTCATTGTTATTCTTCAATGTTGTGTAATATTCCATTGTATGTATGTACCAAAGTCTGTTTAAACATTTTTTGTTGATGGAAATTTAAGCTGTCTCCATCTTTTTGATTTGTCTATTACAGTTCTCATATTAAAGGATCCTGTTTTCTATGTGGGTTTTGTTTGTGTGTGTGTGTGTGTGTGGTGTGTGAGATGATGTTGGTTTCTTTGTTCTACATAATTTTCTACACTGAGTTCATTTTGTTTGTGGGTTTTATTTTCATTTCTGCTGCATTCATGTTTATTAAATGTTTATGATTTTCCTCTTTTTAAAAATTTTGATGTGCCGGTGTATGCATTTTCTTTGAAGTTACCCTGTAATTAATATTTTTTCTTTTTTAAAATCAGTCTGTTGTATCTTGATATCTACTTGACTTACCTGCTCTTTGGAAGTTCTGTATCTACACTACTCCCTCTTTTTGCTTTGTGGAGGTGGTGGTGGTGGTTGTGTGCCGTGGAGTTGGTTCCGACTCAAAGTGACCCTGTACAGGGTTTCCGAGGCTGTAAATCTTTACGGGAGCAGAACGCCTCATCTTTCTCCTGTGGAATAGCTGGTAGTTTCGAACTGTTGACCTTGAGGTTTGCAGTCCAATTTGTAACCACTATGCTACCAGAGATCGTTTTGCTTTGTAGCTGACTAAATTATAAATTGATATCTTTGGCTCTCTATTTTCAGTCTTACAGATTTATTTTACTTTTAATACATCTATATCTGGATTGGATAGTGGGTGGTGCTGTCATGTATGGGAATCTCAGGTTGTATGCTATTGTTGGTTATCTGTCCAAAAATCATCCTTTAGCATTTTTTGGAAAGTTTGATCTGGTCATTACAGATTTCTTTAATTTCTGTTTCCATTGTTGAATTTGTATTTAATTGATGACTGTTATGTTGGTGTGTTTTTCAGCACACACAAACTTCCTGTGGATGTAGTTAGAGAATGGAAGTGTGCATACTGTTCTCATTCACCATTAGTGCACCTCAGTTTAGGGTGGGTTTGGGTGGTATTGGCTGCTGTCTACCATTGATCAGGTGGTATAGGAACAGGTATCGGCTCTTGCCTATTGGGTGAAGATGCAGAGGACAGGACTGTGCCTGGGCTTCATGTGTATGGTTGATGTCTCCTGTTGGCTGGGAAAATGAAAATCCCTCCCCTACACATATACAATGGAGTCCTGGTGTGGCACGGTGGGCTAATGCTTCAGACTGAAAAATCATTTGAACTGCAAGGTCGGTGGTTCAAGCTCACCAGCTGCTCCTTGGAAAC